ATGACAGATACTGGAGCAATGGACCCTGAAACAACAGATACTGGAGCAATGGACCCTGAAACAACAGATACTGGAGCAATGGACCCTGAAACGACAGATACTGACACAATGGATGTTGAAAAAAATGACACAGGAGCAATGGATACTGAAACAATCAATACAGGTACAATTGAAATTGAAACAAAGGATACAGATACAATTATTAAAACTAGTGACAATGCTTGTGTGTATGAAATGCCAAAAGAGCATATATCAGAAAATTCAGAGGAGAATCATGGACACAAATCTGATGACAGTATTCATAGCAGTGAGAATGATGATAATGATGTTTACCATACTGTACAGACATCCAATACTAAGCGAGTATTTGCTGAGCTGGGAAATAATTCTACAAGTACTGTACGAAAAGAGTTCAGTGAAGCCAATCATGAAAAAAGACAAAACAGTCGTGCTTGTTGGCAAGAATATATGACACATGGCAAAACAAAACTGTATCCTTTTATAAAGTACACTGATTGTGTTTGTATATGAGTATGTGTGAATAACATGAGTATATATTGGTTGCACGTGCGTGACATTTTTGTCAAAAACCATTACACCATTTCCTCAAAAGTAGAATAAGTACACATATAGCATTAAATGTGTGCAATTCTGCAAATGTTGCCAGTGTAAATAAATGATTTCCAGAAATCTAAAAGCAGGAAAACTCAGCTTTTTAGAAAGTCATGATCACACCGGGGGGGGGGGGGGGGGGTTCCATAGTTTTAAATGCTTGGTACAATTTATGTACACATGGCATCTGCAAAGCAGTGGTTAGATACAACAATGATTCATGATATAAAGACATCTATTCCTTGACTCGATTGTAAACAGAACACCGACCTCAGAACCGCATTTCTTCCTTCCTGCAGAAGACCTTGAATCAAATATGAAAGAACTGTGTCATTCTGCACCGTTGATATTATCTCGAAAATTACAGGTAAATGTCATTTATTTAAAACCAACTCAAAATTATGAACATAATGTCTATCACCAAATAAGTGTGACTATCATATTTGCTATCAAGCTTCTCAGCAGGTGGAGTGTTAATATCCCAAATTCAAAACTTTTATGTGTTTATCACGTTTATTTCACTTTGTGTATGTTATATACAGCAACAATATAATGTAGGAAGTTATTGAAATAGAATCATATGTCTGAATGCAAATGATGGTCCAATCTTGAATACTTTGGGATGTTAATTATTACTACATGCAGGAAAAAAAAGGTTATAACGAGAATATTGCAAAGTATGCACTCAGGCAGTGCAGGATCACATTAACCTCTGCTATGTGTTGGTCAATACAATCACTGTAGGTACTACCTTAATGCATACTTTCTGGTATTCTTGTAATAATTATTGGAAAATTGGTTAAAGCTGCTGGGACTGATAAATATATCTATATATTATATTATAAAATGTAGTAAAGTTCTGGGATTTGGAAAAGCACTAACAATATACCATTTGTTTATTGCAGCATAATGAGAGAAAACTTGATAAATCACAGATACCATCACAAAGACATATGCTGGCTAAGAGGGACAAAACAAGACCACATCCTACAGCAGAAGATACTAAGAGAATTGCAAACATTTTCTCCACTAAATTCTGACTTGTATAGTTATTTACAAATTACTGTTATAGTGAAGGATATTGGATCAAGAAGTGCCCCAGATTATACATGTTACAGTTAAAAAAAATTCTGCTGATGCTGTTACATATCATTTATTTTGGTTAATTGTCAACAGGCAATGTGTTGGCTAAATAGAAATAAACAGTGTTCATTGAATAATATATGATGTCTTCACACACTTAAATGACAGATAACTATGATGGAAGAAGCTAGACAATTTTGTTTTTTTGTATATATGCTTTTTTTTTCAAAAAAAGAAATATTTTCACATTATTAAAATGACTTTTAATGACTACATCTGACATTGTATGTTATAAATATGCATATTGGCAGATTTATATTTAATTATGTATGTAAACATTGATTACTGTTTTATTCTAAGTATAATTTTGTATTCTCTAACAAATGTTGGTTCTATTCATGGAACATATCCAGTACATGAACACCAAAAACGTTTTCATTCATGTGAATATAATTTTTGTCAATAAAAATACAATGATAAATGTCATTTCTAACATTTGCTTATACCTCCTGTCAAATATATGTTTACATTATGTTTTGTGAATCCATTAACAATCATTTAATTAAAAATTAAAAATACACATTGATCACAACTATTGATTGTCCTTGCTTTGTGTTTCTGACCTGATGAACCACATGTTTGTTGACACTTGTATTCCAAATTATGTTTTTCATTGTAGACCACATTTTACCATCTACATATTATATATTTTATGTTTTTCATTGTAGACCACATTTTACCATCTACATATTATATATTTTATGTTTTTCATTGTAGACCACATTTTACCATCTACATATTATATATTTTATGTTTTTCATTGTAGACCACATTTTACCATCTACATATTATATATTTTATGTTTTTCATTGTAGACCACATTTTACCATCTACATATTATATATTTTATGTTTTTCATTGTAGACCACATTTTACCATCTACATATTATATATTTTATGTTTTTCATTGTAGACTACATTTTACCATCTACATATTATATATTTTATGTTAGTACTGTAGTTAAAGTGTTAGGTAAAGAGACGAAATGAGGTCTTTTGAGTGACTTGTAAATAAGAATTGCATGTTGGGTGGGGTATACTTATGCAAATATTTTCATAACCTTCCAGACAACTTTCACATCTCTCAGCAATCATTTATGACCTTCTAACCAAATGTTTATGACCTCGTAAATTTTTTCCAACTTCCAGGCATTATTACAAACTTCTAGCTAATTTTCACGATCTTACAACCAACTAGGGCCTTTTCCAGTCAACTTTTATGACCTTTCCAGCTAGTCTATCACTGTACAGCTAACTTTTTGACTGCAATGCCACTATTTACAAATTTACATCCAGCTTTCTTGACCTTACAACCTACTTTTGCCTCGCCTAACTTTTAACCTCATTCAATCAACCATACCATCCAACGTTTACAATGTTTCAGTTAACTTTTACTTATTTCCACTCAACATTTACCCTTTTCCAGTCGTCTTTTATGACTATTCAGTCAATTATATAACCTTCAAATTAGCCAATCTATACCAATTTTACTACTTACATGATAGGGTAGGCTCTTCCAGCCAATGTTAATTTCTTAGAGATCTGAATCTATCTGGCATGCAGTGTGCGTTCTCGACTTTGTATTCAAATTACAGAGCTAGAACATTACGATGTACCGGTATATATTTACACCATCGACACAGTAATTATTTAAATTTTATTCACATTTATTGGGGTCAAATAACATTATTTTGTCAAATTTAACAAAAACAAAACAAATAACAAAATATAGTTTTGATTAAGAGCAACACAACAGGCGTGGCAAGTTTGAATGTGCTATCTATGTTTTAATACGAGTTAAAATACATACACACAATAATGAATGTACTATCTATGTTTTAATACGAGTTAAAATACATACACACAATAATGAATGTGCTATCTATGTTTTAATAAGAGTTAAAATACATACACACAATAATGAATGTGCTATCTATGTTTTAATACGAGTTAAAATACATACGCACAATAATGAATGTACTATGTATGTTTTAATACGAGTTAAAATACATACACACAATAATGAATGTGCTATCTATGTTTTAATACGAGTTAAAATACATACCCACAATAATGAATGTACTATCTATGTTTTAATACGAGTTAAAGTACATACACACAATAATGAATGTACTATCTATGTTTTAATACATACACACAATAATGAATGTACTATCTATGTTTTAATACATACACACAATAATGAATGTACACCTGCACACTGCTTTGTATGGTCGTTGGTAATTACATCAGGAACAATAAAATATGATTTGTTTTGTTTGGCAGCAATCAATATTCTCTATTATTATTCTTATTGTTTATATTAAATATTCAGACAATAATCTTTTAATGAAATAATGAAAAACACAAATGCGCGCGTGTCCTGAATTTATCTATTCATAGCAGAAGCAGTATGCACATGGAATGTGAGTCATTTTATTCAAGTAATTGCAATTAATGTGTGCTGGCACTGTAACATAATAAATTAGTATTCTATATCCATGGGTTCCACGCCATACCGTGTCTTGCTGGATCTGCACGGACACTAAATTTGTCAACTTCACCAGGAGGGACAGCAGTTGTATTATGGTAGTGCAATCTTTGCAGCAACATGAAAACAATATCAGGTCTATAATGTACAAGGTTAACTTTTTCTTCGGCATCTTCTTTTATGTGATACAAACGCACCATTCCATCATCACTGCTCTCGACTGTCCTGCTTTTTGGTGCAATTTCTGGTCTGGTTTCCCAATTACTGCAACCTAACAAATAACACATGATAGCTTTAGATTCAATGCCCTGTTCACAATAAGTAAATGTTCCCACACATAACTAGTGTAACCAGGTGGGACATGGCTGGTCATTTTAATAACATACACCCAGTACTTCAGAACCTCACAAATACATAAGAGAGGTACAATTTGATATGTAAACAAAGCAAAATCAAACACGTTTCAGTGAATATAAAGGTGAATAGTGGTCATCAAATCACTTGGTTAAAGTGAAAGATGGTATCCCAATCCGGATCATCATTACCAAAATTGCAAACTCACAAAATCAAAGCGAGTTGGTTCTTGCCTTTAAACCAAATGGATGGTTTCTTACATGTGAATTGTGGCCTATTGACGCTGATAGAGAGGATATGTCCTTTCTGTGGTGAGTGGACTTTGTCTCCAATGCAGAGTGGTATCGTTATTGCACATAGGGGTGTTTCTTACCTGTATGACCTGTAAGTAATTTCCAGTGTCCAACTCTAATAGCTGCTGATACGCAAATGTCAAAATAAGGGTTTCCAATCCATGTGTCCCTTGTTGATGATTTGCATCCTGGCCATAGCGGGTCGATATTATAGACAATTTCTACTCTCTTCGAGGGTACTCCTCGACTCAAAAATAATAAAACAAATAATATCACTATATGATGATGTCACATTGGGTTTCACCAAACACCATGTACCCAATATGATTAAAATAATTAAAGTATTGGTGTATGCTCTAATATGGATGAAATGGACAAAAACAGATTCACTGAATTTCAATACAATTAGAAGTTTTTATGACCTTGAGAAGTGACTTTCATCTTACGACTTTCGATTCTTACACGCCCCAATTTCAAGCATGTTTTCGTTTTACTTTTGTGGGCTTTTTTTTCAGAGTAAAATGTGATGACATGCATCTATTCCGATCGATAAATGGCGGCAGTCGTCGTGCCGCGTTCTGTTCGATATGGGACTCATAGCGATCAACATACATACATAATGCCTGTAAAATACTTTGTTTGTCTACATGGAGTTCGAACACGCGCAGCGCGGCGACCATCGTCCTTTCATTCCTTTAATTAAGTTACCTGATTGTCTCCCATTGGTTAATTCCATCCAATGGTTTTGAACCAATCACATGTCCACCAGCTAGGTTCATAAATGTTGGAAACCAGTCACCAATATACATCAGCTCATTGTTTATCGTACCCCGCACAAGAGGATCCAGCAAAGGACTGGACACAAATGCTGGACCACGTATACCTCCCTCGAAATTCGAAGCTTTCTGACCTCTTAATGGATAATTACTAGCCCCGAAAGTTCTGGCGCCGCCATTATCTGAAACAATTTTTATACTAGTAGTTACATTGTATATTGCCCAATAGAGTGTTGCTCAATTATTCAGAAGACAATCAGTATTAAAGAAATGATTACCATATCAATCGTTTAACAGTGGTGTATGAACTGGAAATACTCAATGGAACCATTTATGGAAAAGTACCCTGAGCTCTGTGAGTTTGTTTAAAGCGGAGGGCGTCGTTACCTGCGCACGCGCGAAATTGAGCCCCCAAGCAACGATAACAACGCGCACTAAAAACGCAAAGGCTCATGAGTAGACATTTTTGTAAACAACAACACGGTATGGACACTTGACGCATGCGTAGGTGACTTTAAGTTTTCTGTGGTGCATTTGATGAAATATTATCTGAATATCATGTTCCCGTATGATTGCCCCGATATATTACAAATAGTCTGTTTATGCTCCGACAAGGGTTTTTGACATTTTGCATTTATTTAGATTGCACTGGAGTTCAACATTATTGTTTTGATGTGTGGTCGTATGTCAACTAAACAAAGTTGTCGCATTTTACGTCATAATCGCTTCATCAATAAAACGAAAGGTGTATTTGTTGACGCACTTATGAATCACATTAGATAAACAGAACATTGGGAATGGAACATTGAAAACCTACCCGTTGAAAACACAATCACTGTGTTATTCCAGATACCCTTATCTTTCAGAGTTCTAGTGATATTTCCTATAGCCTCGTCCATGCAGGATGTCATTCCAGCATATGTTCGACGTGATTCATCGTGTATAGTGTCTTTGTACATGTCTGAATACTTATCAGGCACCTGCAGAGGTGCGTGCACAGCTTGAAACGGTAAATAGATGAACATCGGCTGCAGGAGTGAAAAAGGCTATAACTATAATTGTGTTTGGTCGTATTTCTATCACGTATATTGAAGTAAGCGCTCTATGGCGACAGACTAAAATTGTTGACCATAAGAAGCACATTTCAAGTGTGAATATCACATTTAGGCAAATAAATTTTAGATTAAAGTTTGTGGTGTTTCGATAATACAACAGTCGTATGTGATACACGAAACTCGCACCCTGCTGATCTACGACGACAGCTTATAAATGGGGAAATAACAGCAGCATTGTACCACCCTGTGAGAAA